CCCGCGCCACCAGCCCGCCGGGCCCCGCCGGTACCTTTGATGTATCCCTTCTCGCGCAGCGACTGCAGAGTGGGCCGCCTCATAAGGAACTTGCGCAGCTTGTGCCGGACCTTGCTCACGTCGCTCTCCGAGCCCGAGGTGGGAGTGGCTGCTGCGTGGAGGGAACGCGATGGCACTGGAGTTAGTTCTTGGCCAACGCCGCACCCCAGCCCGGGCATCTCCCCCCTCTCCCCAGGAAAGGGTTGTGGATACGCCCTCCACCGAGCACACCTGCGCCTGGCCTCATGTCGTCCTCTTTGTCCCGCCAGCTTCCCAGGCGCTCACTGGAGCCGAAGTCCACACTGCCGCTCTCACATTCCTCCTCAGGGTGCTCGTCTACGGACTGGAATCACTCTAACTCAGATCTGGGGTCCTTCCAGAGTGGAGGAGGGGTCCCAAATACCCTCCTGGCAAGCCAAGTCAGAAGGCCCCTGGGGGGAAGCCCTGCCTATTCTTCCCAAATTAATCCCCCTCACCTCCACCAGGGACTCTCCAGCATTCAGCTTTCCGCTTCCTTACTACCCAGAGCCCTTGGGATGTTGGGGACCTCCACCATGTTTGCTTACTAACCCTCTCTTACACTGCCCACTCCTGCTCGGCTCCCAGCTCTGGCCCCTTCTTTCCTTCAGCCCCTGCACACGTTCCACTGGTTCAACTTTCCTCAGCAGAGGTTCTGAATTGTGATTCCAGCTGAGCACGGAGCACTCCCCAAAACTACCTAACCTCCTTAGACCTGGATTCCTATTAACACAGCCAAATGCTGCACCCAATGTTGGTTCCTGGAGAATTAGGGGTCAAAACCCTCACTCAAGTCTTTTTTGGATGAATTGTAGTCAGTTCTCTACCTATGCAACTGAATTTTTGATCCTGAAAGATGGTGGTGTTATCTGACTCATAGCTGACCCTCTGGCGGGTTTTCAGAGGTTGTAGATAACAGGAGAAGATTGCTCATCTTTCTCACATGGAACAGCTTGTGGATTTGAACCCAGTGCCTTGGGGATTGTGGTGCAGCTTCTTTTAGTGTTTTCACATTTTGTTTTCTAATTTTAGCATCATTCCAGCCTGCAGCTGTTTCTCAGGGTATTTACTTTCTTCCTGCCTTTGAAATGGCAAATTCCTCTATGGTGTCATCAAGTCTGGGGTGGGGGTGGGAAGAAAACAGGCACAAAACTGCCAGAGCCAAGGCCCCTGCATCCCCCACCCCATGGGGATAGCAGAAGTCCACTCAACCTGCCTTCCTCCTGTGCTGAGTGAGGGGAGCGGCCGCCCCAGCTGGGTGGAAACTGACCAGGTCGTGGTCTTATTGCCCTAGCCTGTTGTTGTTTGATGCCGTCGAGTCGTAGATGACTCATAGCGACCCTATGAACAAACGAACGGCCTGAGCACTGTTCGTACATAGAGTTTCTGGAGGCAAACCATTTCGGAAGTGGATGCCGCTCCTGCTTCCAGGCTTGATTTAGTCAGGAAGCTCCAGCCAACACTGTCCACCATGGGTGCCCATTACCACGATTGGCACATCACTGTCAGTCTTCAGCATCACAGCAACCACGAGTTACCTCGCCCTAGCCTGAGGTGATGGAATTCTAACTGGTTGGAGGTCCCCAGGCCACTGTCTGCGCCTTTCAGCTGTGCTCTGGGTTCATTTCCCTTTAGGGTCATGCCTGTTCCAGTCTCTCAGTCTTTCTAGGGAGCTCAAGGGAGTGTGCTCACCGAGAG